CACATCATTAAGGTTAACTTTTACCTTTAACTGTATGGGTGGTATATGTTTTATATGTCCATATGTGTCTCAGATTACATCTCATTAAGATTTTTTTTAACTTAGTAGAAGATTTCAACCAATAAAGTCCCACAGAGAAAAGGAAAAAAGCTCAAAGTGCTGTGTCATTGTTCTGTTTCTCTTAAACAGCAGGACGTGTCTCCCTCTGCAGCTTTACGGCTCTTTTCTTCTGCACAGCTATTCTTTGTCTCAGTGCCCCCCTCTCTTAATTTCCGCCTGTCTGCATATGTTTTGGAGGCCATTAATCGTCCCCGGCACAACATGCACCCCAGCAGATAATTACAGTCATTAAACCAATTAGGGAGCACATGGAGGGGAAGGTTTAGTCAGCCCTGAGGCCTCCCACTCCTGTTCTTCTCTACAGGACAGCCGAGGTGGTCCGCTGAAAGTCTGGCAAAGCCTTAAATAAAGAAGGGGGTGAACTACTTCATCCCAGCTCTGGATTAATGAAATTTCCTGTTGATGTAGCCTTGAGAGACCTCGCTAACTTCGCTGCAGGCCAAGTAACCAGAGCCATTAGCCAGCAAAAGCCGTCTGAATTTTCCCATCTTTTTTGGAGGGCGTAGCAGCCGTTTAGGTCGGTGTCATCAAAATACGTTTTTACGGAGCCAAGAGGGTTATTTTGGTGATTCTGTGGCAAAACACAAAAAGAGATCAGAAGTGGCAGGAAAGGGAGGGAAGAGTGGTCAATCTGCAGACAGTGGTTTTCAGTATGCTCAGTCTATCATGTGATTGTAGAGCTAATATTATGGTTTCAATGCCCTGCACAGTGGGAGTTCTGGCAGAACAAGGCCGTAACACACAATAAATTAAACTGGGATTTCTTAGTTATTCAGAAAGATGGGAGTGAGACTTTTAGTTACTGGCTACATGTGCAGGCAAGCCACAGAAAGTCCCTCACGCTCGCTCTAAGTCACCATGTTGGATGACAGATTGTCCTCCCTTGTATCAGAGAGGTATTTCCCAGCATTCATGTTATGCTTGGCACATGTTTTTTTTTCCAACCTCTGAAGAGAAAAGAAAAGAAAAAGCAAAAAAAACTGGGAGCGCTTTAAGTTTTGTCTGTCCTTATGAATGAGATAGAAGAGTAAAAGGCAGATCTTGTGATGAATCCAAAATAAGCAAAGAAAAAAAAAATCCTGCAGGTTAAAAATATGAACATGACCAGCACATATGGTCTGAATAAGGCTGGGCTAAGCTATACTGATGGTGTGAACTTTATTTGCAGGCCTGAAAAATGAAACTTAAAGAAAGAGAGACGTTACCGGCTCAGTTGTAGAGACAAGCAGTTATTATCTGTGCAGAAAGCATGGGGAAAGTAGCTACCTTGACATTTTCCACTATTAGAAAAATACACAAGACGCTTCTAAATTTCAAGAAGAGGGTAATTTGTCCAACCATGCATTGTCTTAACCACTTGACCAATTCAGGGTTGAGGAGGGGGCTTGCTGTTATAGGACAAGAGGTAAGATACACTCTGAGTAGTTTAGCAGTCTGTTGAGGTTTTATATATACTTTTCCACCATTTTGGGCATGTAACAATCCTGGTAACAATGTAGGATCAAGTGAATAAGGCTCAGGTCACGCAAGCCTAGACCCGGTCCACAACCATCTGGCAAACATGACAAACATGAAAAACTGGCAACTGTGGCAATCTGGCAGGCTTTTGGCACATCATCTTCTTTGTAACCAGTTGTACGCAGTGAGATCTGGAAACTTTCAGGAATCACTGCCAGTCACTTGAGTAATACAGATGTTTCCCTAGCAACCAGTGTAGCACATCCAATATGGAGAACTCGGGAGCAACATGGCACGATGTAACATGAGATGCCTCATAAAAAAGGATGTGCTAAATAAGTGCAGCAGTGTGAAAAGGCTAACTAGCTATTACCCAAGTCCAGTCTTAGATTCTGCATTTTAAAGCTTCACTGTTCGTGTTTTGAAGTCAAATTCTACATTACTACGAAAGGGTAGCGGGCTTACTTCTCAGCTAATACTAGCTAGCTTGGTTAGCAAGCTGCATCCATATATCATATTGGTGCAATGCTAAATAGCTTGGTACCAGACTAACAAAGCAATAGAATTTCACTCATCAAAACTGAAGCCAAAGTTCTTGGATGGTCTGTGTCACATAGCAAGCCAAAATCTTAGTCAAATAATACACAGTGAAAAAGATCCAGTTATATTACTCAAAGTAATGGAGGTGAGGGCTGTCATGCTCCAGAGTTGGTGTGAGGACAGACGAGAAGAAGAGGATATAAAGAACAAAGGATGCCTAATATATAGAGCAACCAGGCAGGAGGAGATGAGAAAGACCACAGAGAAGATTCATGTTTATAGTGAAGTAAGATATTGGTTTGACAGAAGAAGATGCTGTGGATAGGGTGAGATGGAGACAGATGATCTGCTGTGGTCACACCTTAAGGGAGCAGTAAAAGAAGAAGTGTTGAGTTGTATGTGTTGTGAAGACAGTGTATAATCGACTAAGACTGAATGAAACCGGTTTGCTCTCTGTCCTGTCAGGTTATGGTCTGCAGGTCTCATGATCCTTTATATTCAAATTTTGACATGTGAGCTTATCCTATATTAAATGACATGATTTGTGTTTTTAAAAAACTTTTTTTTAGATACCAGATTGAATTTTAACATCATAATTTGCACAAAGTAAGACATAACTGTAATAATAATGGGTATATTTTGCTTTAAGCTAACATTAACTTTAGTACAGATTTTCATCTTTCACTTGCTTTAATGTTTCTCCATTTTATTTATGTCTATTGTGCTCGCCAAAGAAGTCTTTGTCAAAGATTGTCAGGCCTGATGTTATTGTTGGCTGCACATTTAAACCTCATTGAGGTCACATGTTTGCTTCTCGTTCTTCTTGAAATGCTGAATTTTCTCTGGGCTCCCACTGACTCTCACTGAAGGAATGCTGTAATATTCAAAAGTGGATCTAAAAAACAGAAAAAGCATGGCGGGTGGACAGCTTTTTAAAGGATTAAAAAGTAATCGTCCAAGAAAGGCTTTTTAATTCATTCCCTTTTTTAATCCTTGGAAATTCCCACACTGACACAGACTGCAGCAAACAGAAGTTGAATTTCCCCAGAAGCCGAATGACTACTTGCTTTGCAATAAGAGCAACAAAGTAATCACACTTGTATTCAATCAAAACTTGGCTGCATGAAGTAAAAAAACAACTTTCATGTTGAGTACACTGTGCATCATCCGAATCATCCAGTACTGAAAGGCATCCAACTTTCTCTCTGCCGCGAGGGATGACAGAAATGACTGTTGCTGAATGATTGTGGCTTCCCACTGAGGAGAATCGCATACGCGTATGTGGATGTTGGACATTCCTCCTTCTCTTTCTGCTCTCTCCTCGACTACTAAGCAAAAACCCACATTCCCCTCAAAGCCTACTCGAGATTGGTTTCGTTTGATGGACAGAGATTCAGTCACACCAAAGGACCATAAAGAGGCCGGTTTTATTGGCGCTGTCTAACAACTGCACACAGTGACAAAAAAAGGTTTGCACAGCAGCCGGCACTGAGACGTGTTGAGGCGTGGTAAAGAGCTGATGTGAATATGTAACAGCAAAGGAACTGACTTTTCTTCAACATGCAAGGTGAGAAGTGGGATCTGACCCTTGGGGCTTTAGTGAACACTTCCACCTGCTGGTCTGAATTATTCATGAAACACTTCCCTAAGCTCTTCCTGTCTAACATCCAAGCTCTGGCTGCTTTAACCACTCACCTTGTTTGGTTTAACAATACATTTACAAGCAACTGAAACACAAATGTCATGAAAGGTGGTAACACAGCCTTCCAAGTTTCTCATGCACTTTTGCCTTTTTGCCACAAGGTGTCAGGCTGCTCCTAACCTTGACCCCATTCCTTTCACCAAGCGTTTCATGATGGGATGGAAGGACATGGGGGAGTCTGGGACTACAGCAGAGATTATTAAGAATGTTCCAGAGCAGGTTCAGAATTATTTAAAGGAATAATAAGATTCCTTGAGCTTCTCAAACGGTTTCTGGAGGGATTTCAGAGCCCCCAAAGTGTATTAAAAGGGTCAGTGAACATATTACAGCCCTCCTTGAGACTGGTCCTGTGGCCCTGAAAGAGGTTTGAGGGGCTCTGCAAGGGTTCCTGCGGCTGGAATAGGCTAAATTTGAAGTAGTGAGTTCTTCATTTTCATCTTAAGGTTTCTTTTAGGGGAGCTGAATGGATCAGTGAGGGGTCTCTTTTTCTTGAAGGTGTGTGGTTTCTTCACTATGTTTAAGGAGGAATTTTCTTCACTGTGTTCACTGGTTGTTAGCAGAAGGTCTCAGAGGTCCTTAGATTTTTGGAGGAACATCTGTCATTTCTAGATGAGATGTTAGGGTTCATTAAGTTATCCTGAAGCACAATTTTCTGGAAAAACGTCAGTGAAGGTCAACAGTTTTTTTATCAGGGTTTCGTTTAATGAAAGCAACTCATTGATTATATTATTCTGTAAAGCTACTCATCAGCTCATACTTATCTCTGTGTCAAATTAGCCAGAAAGAACTTCTCTTTTCCAAACATCAAGTTTCACCCCATCTTCTTTCTCCAATGTGCAATTTCAAGGCTCACTTATATTTTCAGTTAGTTATTTATTGTATGGTTGAGAGGTAGGGTCTCTGGGAATGTATATGAAGGAATACCCTGTGGAGTTTGGGCTTAGTGGAAATGATCTGCCCTTGGAGAAAATACAAAGAGCACTGTTTCTTTTAAAGGGAACGTAAACGCAGCACGATTTGCTTGAATGTTTGAGGTCAGCGTCTGCTGTTTCTCTAACTTTATCAGCGCAGTCCTCCCATGTTCATCAGATAATGTTTCTTTGCATCCTTTCCCCGTCCAATTACGGCAAAACGCTTCAAAAGTACGGAGCAACGTGGTTGCCACGGCAACAGGATTTTCCCCACGTTGCCTGCGGGTGATGTCAGCAAAGCCCCGGTTACTACTGTGCCAGCAGGCACCGGGCTCTGAGACCAACTTGCGAAACACACAAGGACAAGAAGAGTCGAGAAAGAAAGAAAAAAATCGTTCCAGGTGAAATGAGCCACTGTGTTTAAATGCTGTGTTTAAGCAAGGGCAAGAAAATCTGAACATTCAGCTCAGGCTGGCAAGTTTAGAGAGAGAAGATCGTCTCAAAGGCATCTCAATAACGCCACAAAAATGCGTTTAAAGGAAGATTTGGCTTCAATATCATCCATAAAAGTTTCATATCCCCGGAGAAATTAATCAGGTGAGACAGAATTTGCAAAGGAAAACAGCAAATTATATATCTATCTATCTATATATATCTATATCTATAGATATATAATTTATGTGCAGTGTGCGCTGTTGGTCTGCTGTCCTTCTGTGAACTGATGCGCTTTCCCCCTCGTCCCTCGTATAAGGTCCAACTATTTCTTTGTCGTCTGTCGGGGTTCTCTCCTCTGAACTTGTGTGAGTGCTTCTGATGTGTGTTTGGTGTCTTCTTGTTTTTGTGTTGCTTTGTTTGTTTTTCTTCAGTCGTTTTCCTTCTTTTCGTTTTTAAGACCACCCTGTACGTGTTTTTCTTGCATTCGGAAAAGTCGGGCTGGTTGCTTCTTTAGTGCTGTTGTCTTAAATACGATGTCATATGCACATATGCACCACCAGAATCTGCACTTAAACATTTTGCACTTTCTGCATGAAACATAGTTTAAGTCGTGAATCAAATTCATATCTATCTATCTATCTATCTATCTATCTATCTATCTATCTATCTATCTATCTATCTATCTATCTATCTATCTATCTATCTGTCTGTCTGTCTGTCTGTCTGTCTGTCTGTCTGTCTGTCTATTATTTGTCCCACAACATACTTACATACCTCCATCAATAAGCCCTCTTGTCACAGTGTGAAGTCAAATATATACAGTAGCATGAAGACTGGGAGGGGAATAGAAGAAAGAGTGGGGAGGGGATTCAAATCGTCACCAAACAGACATTCATGCTTTCTCCCCCCTTTTCCTCTCTCTCTGTCTCTTTTTCTTTGTGTCCCCCCTCCCCACACTTCGTGTCTGTTGCTCTCTCTCTCTCTCTCTCTCACCTCCCTTCTCCTGTATGGAGCAGTGCCTCAGCCTACAGCTCACCAGGCATTCACTCTCACTTACCCCCCAACTCACACACACACCACCACCACAGTTTCTCACTTCCCTCTGCTCCTCTGCTTACTGATACTTCTGCTTCCACTGCTGCCTTCCTCGCTCCCTTCCCTCTTCTCTGTAGCTCGCTCCTCATCCTCAATCCACCATGGTGAACAGATAACCGCCCCTGCCGTCCCGAGACCATGGGTGCCTGCCTCTGCAAAGGTCACAAAGGTCAGTGCCCGACTCCACCTGCTTGCTCTTCCTCAACTGTGTGTATGTCTGAGGGTTTAATCAGCCTTGAAGATAATGTGACAGCATTCACAGGCTGTTTCAGAAAGTTGCATTATGCCTTTCAGGAATAACTATGCACGTGAGGACGTGGAAAATCATGGAAAATGTTTGATTTCTGATTTTGGCAGATATTCCTGAAGTTCTAACAGCAGAAAGACCACCTGAATCACATTTTGAGGCATGTTTACAATGCACTCCATCATGCGAATCCAGAAACTTATTTTAAGCTGATGTCTTATCTATCCTCGAGCGAATCTGTTGAGGCTGCTTTAGAATAAAGACTCTGGGAGAAGAGGCTGATGACGAGGCTTGTGTGGATCAGTGAAGGACAATTGTAGCTGTAGGATGTCAGAGCTTCGTCAGAAGCCGATTCCAAGTTGTCGTGACTTGAAGATGTGACTTGGGTTGCAATTTATTTTCTCTCCTACTGTGTTTGCTCACTGTCTCTGCTTCTGGGGGAAATAAGTTAGTGTTCCAGCGCTGCCTAGATGAAATAACAATACCTCAGCTGAATGCAGGGCCTCTTCCAGGGAGAACATAGGTAGTAATTTATGCTGTCAAAAATAAAGGTTCACTAGCATCGAAGACAGATGTGAGGTGTCTGTGATACCTCAGAACAGCAGTCTACTTAATATTTTCCCTTTATATTTTACATGACAAAATATTAACATCATACTGCAGTCTTATATATTATTTTCAGCTGGAGCGCCGAGTGCTGTTTGAAAATATTTTGTGAGACAAAGGTGACAGAGTGAGCAGCGCTTTCAAGCTGGGAGGAAAGAGAGAAGGCAGCTGTGAGGATCCAGACAAACAGATAAGAGAGCAGCGGAGGTGTGTGTTGTGTGTACGTGCACAGGTGTGTGTGTATGGGAGTGAATCAGTGTGGGATTTAACCCCACAAGGACAGTGTATTGGATCAGGAATCGCAATGGGGTTTCTTGACCTGCTGATAGGATCCAATGAGGCCAGAGAGCAGATACAGCCCTGTGCACCAGTGTGTGTGTGCATGTGTAAAAGTGTGCTGGCAAGTAAATGGAAGGGCATCACTAGTCACCTCTTGCTGTAGCGTTTCCATAGCAATACCCAATTGTATTGAAGGCACCTCCCGTGGGAAAACCCCTAATGTGTGAGCGTGTGTGTGCGTCTGACATTTCTAATAATGTTAATTCGCCATCGCACGGGCCTGCACTTCATTTCCTCCTGTCATTCATACGAACCTCATCACCATCAATTAGAAAGCAAACAGTGTGAGCTGGGGCCGAGCTAAATATGCAGAGAGGCTTTGGTTAAATGACTCTAACAGGATTCAGCCGTCTCCATCTCATCATTTATATATGAGGCTCACTTGACCCCTGGAAGCACATCGACACACAAAAAGGAAGCTTAGACATGTACGCTCCAAGTGTAACACCAGGGTTTGTCTGTCACTCCCTACAGAGATCAGCATTCCTGTATCAACACTGCACCACCCCGAGGAGGGTCACTCATCCCCTGCCAAGGTAAGTGGAAGCCCCCCACCCCACCATCAACTTGTCAATACGCCCTTTTAGATTTTTAATGGTAGCTTTAATGGCTGTCATTACTAACTAAAACCTTTTTAAAACCAACAACACAGATCATAGTTTAGCTAATTATCTCCCTATGATATCATCATTAGCTGGACCAGCTCAATTTATGATGACATCTAATATGCTGGCAGCTCTTTCTATACCCGTAACACAAATGTTACAACATTTACAAATTCTCAATTATTATAAAACATTTTTGTCCTGCTGTCTCTCCATTTTTGTAACCCTTTAATATTTTTATGTATGTTTTAAGGAATAATCTTCGCGTTAGCAATGTCACAGTTAGCATTTTGTAAAAAAATGTATAAAACAACACATGTATTAAAACCTTCAAGTGAAATTTAGTTTACAGTTTTTCTCAGTCGCTTTGGTGCATTTCCCACAACAGAATTGAACTCTCCACCACTACTAAGGCACTTCTCAAAACAATTAGTGCAAACTGCAAAACATGGTGGATAACTTGCAAAAGTGAGTCACTCCATCAAAAAGAAAAGTCAGGTGTCCAAAATAAGTTGTCAATGCATCAACAACA